ATAAATAAATAAATAAATAAATAAATAAATAAATAAATAAATAAATAAAGTCTTTCTAGGGCCAGCCCCGTGGCTTAGCGGTTAAGTGCGCACGCTCCGCTGCTGGCCGCCTGCGTTCGGATCCCCGGCGCACACCGACGCACCGCTTCTCTGGCCATGCTGAGGCCACGTCCCACATACAGCAACTAGAAGGATGTGCAGCTATGACATACAACTATCTCCTGGGGCTTTGGGGGAAAAAATAAATAAAATTTAAAAAATTAAAAATAAAGTCTTTATAGCCTCAATACTACTATTGTTAGTGTTTGGAGGACAATTATCAGAGAATTAAAATTATTGTTTGGAGAGTAATACATGACCTTATACCCTCAGAACCCTGATTATATGTGTGTCCCAGACTGTCAATGTTGTCGGGGTCCACAGAAGGTTGGGATCAGCATTAGATGTCAGAGAGAGTCCCCTAGTCTCTGAGCAAGGTCTGGAGCCAGGCTGAGCTGGACCACTGGGCTCAAGTCAGCCCCACTCCCCACATCCCGTCATTCCCAGGATGACATTCTCTCAATCTGCTCCAAGGGGTCACTGTCCATTCCAATCAGGGTCAAGATTTAAAAGGAAGCAGGCTTAGAAAATCAAATCTCCCTCTCCTGTCAAGAAAATCTCCTTTGTACTGGCCATTCCTGGCTGCTGCCTCTACTGCTGTTCCCCAAAGTCAGGAGTCAGGCCCTCTGAGCAAGAAAGTTGCCACTCAGAGACTGGCCCTGGGGCAGAGAGGGAGGTCCAGAGTGTGGATGTGCTTATGGCTCTCCGAGGTCACCTCACATCTGGGATTGGAATGTCTGGGCCTTTCCTGGGTGTCTGACCAGGGCCATATTAGTAAAAACATGGCTATTCTGTAGCCAGCTGGTAAACATCCCATCCTCCTAAATTTTCGCTTTATCGCCCCAACAGACTCTTCCTGGCAGCTTCAGAGGAATGTCAGAGACTAACTAGACAAAGAGAAGGCAGTTTTTAAACAGCTTTCAGAATTCACTAGCTTTGACTTCCGTGTCTGGCCAAGATGGAGTACTAGGGATTGGATTTACCCTCCTGCCTCCTGCCTGAAATAACCAAAAACAAACACACAAAATATATGAAGCAATAGTTTTCAAGACATTGGACATCAGGCAATGAAGGACAATAATTCCTGAAAGACAGGGGAAAAATGAGGTGAGCCTTGCAGTTGGGCCAGCTCACTGCCCTGAGAGCATTTCCAGACCACAGAGCAGGAAGGGGGAACCCAGATGGAGCCCAACAGACTCCCTGAGTTGCAGAAACAGCTGAGCATCCAGGAAGAACATAGTGCCTAGAGTTGGCAAGACAGAGTACCAGAGGAGAGACCCCTGGAGATCCACAAAAGATCACTCTCCAGTATGCAGCTGGAGACTGATCAATGCATGCGTGTGAGCAAACTACTCAAGGGGGGAAAGGAGTAGAGGTAACTGCCCAAACCCCACACAGGCTGAGTAGTGCAGGCAAGGACAGGAAAACTGTTATTATAACTGTATCCCATGTGCTCAAAAGGTGATATAGAAGAACAGAAGATATCAAAGAGTCCCTACTGAACTTCTACAGATGAAAACAATGTCTGAAATTCAACAACAACACTGAATGCGATTAACACCAGATTAGGCATGACAGAATAAAATATTAGTGAACTTGAAGACATAGCAGTAGAAACTCTCCGAAATAAAAAACAGAGAAAAAAGAGTTTTACAAGTGAAAA